CGATGCCGATCGCTGCGTCTTTAGCTGCAGACATCTTGGCTCAGTCCACTTTTGTCCTGAAGCAACACACACACAAACCAGGACATTAGAGACAAACTAGAGCTTGGGGTCCTGAGCCTGTCAACTACAGTCGATTAGCTGTGACAACCATCTTTAATCATTGTCTCATGTACAGTGTTGCTAGAATGTTTGTGGTCATGATAATTTCTTGAATTTCTACATTAAACTAAAACTAAAATATCCATTTTCACACGAGAACCCAGTTAAACAAATGAGATGAACATTCTCTGTTTATTGAGCAAAAAATGAGACAGAATGACTGTGGTAAAAAAAAAAAAATATGTAGATATGTTTTATTTATTCATTTCATTTCATCCAAACAACAAATATAATACAATTTAAAGAAAAGGAAAAAAGATATCAAAAAGAAGGTTGAACTTACAGTTGAAGACTTCTCTGGTTCTCCTCTCTGGTTCTCTTTTCTGGTTCTCCTCTCTGGTTCTCTTTTCTGGTTCTCCTCTCTTTTCTGGTTCTCCTCTCCTCCTCTAGATCAGTGTCTCTGCTGTCAGAGCAGCAGCTTTATATATGTGAAGCTGACAGTCTGGCTGTTTCCAGAAGGTTCACGCACAAAACATAAAGTCAGCGGAAATACTACCCTCCTTTTCCTGTTAGCGCTTCAAAATAAAGGCTCACTGTATATCAACGAATTGCAGGAAGCATTACTGAACACAATATTTTTTTTTTTTTTTTTTTCATTTAGCCTTTATTTATACAGGTTAGTCTCATTGAGCCACGAGAACTCATTTTCAAGAGAGACCTGTTTAGGGAGCACATGGTGGGGTTAAGGGCCTTGCTCATGGGCCCAGAGTGGGGCGAATGAGGGTGGGGGCAAGTGTGGGTGTTTCACCTACCCCACCCACAATTTTGATGTTGTCGGGGCCGGGGCGTGAACCGGCGATCTTCGGATCACAAGCCCACCTCTCTAACCTCTGCGCCACCACTCCCCTCTGCGCCACTATATACTCTTAATTTGAAGTATGAGTGCCTAATATCCGGTTTTTATCAGTAACTTATCAAAAACACTCTCGAAGGTTCGAGCGCGGCTTCTGTCAAGATTTCAAAAGAAAAGATTGTTGGAGAACTTTCTGGAGAAATGGAGTAAAAAAAATTTAAAAAACTACATTAGAAATGTTTTCTGAACCTTTTTCCTCCGTCTGCGTAATATCACTAAAATTAGAAACACTTGTTCATGCATTTAGAACATCCGGGCTGGATGTTAAAATTTCACTTTGTAAATGTTTCAGTGCTGAGTTTTGTGCTGAGTGTTGTGACTTGGGCTATACCAACTGAATTGACTATTGCAATGGTTTCTTTTCTTATTCAGGAGTCCTAGCCAATTATAGACCTATATCTAACTTTCATCTAAAAAAATTCTAGAGAAAATAGTTACATGATCATCTGCAAAGAAATAATCTGTCTGAAGAGTTTCAGTCAGTTTAGAGCTCACCATAGCGCTGAATCTGCACTGGTGAAAGTTACTAATGATATTCTCATGGCCTCTGACAATGGACAGGTGTCTATACTGGTCCTGTTAGACCTCAGTGCTGCATTTGATACAGCTGATCATAATATTATTTTACAGAGACTTGAATATGACATGGGCAGCACGGTGGCACAACTGGTAGAGCTGCTGCCTCTCAGCGAGAAGGTTGCAGGTTCAAATCCCTGTCCCGGGGCCTTTCTGGGTCGAGTTTGGATGTTCTCTCCGTGCGTGCGTGGGTACTCCGGTTTCCTCCCACAGACCAACAACATGCATGTTAGGCTGATTGGTAACTTTAAATTGTCCCTAGGTGTGAGTGAGAGAGTGAATGGTTGTCTCTATGTGCCCCTGTGATGGACTTGTGCACAGTGATAGCTGACAGACATAGGCACCGGCGACCCCCGTGACCCAAAATGGAAGAAGCGGGTAAAAGATAATGGATGAATATGATGTTGAAATTACAGGAACAGCTCTAAATTGGTTTAAATCATACTTATCTGATAGAGTCCAGTTTGTAAATGTAAATAATGAATCTTCTTCATACACCAAAGTTAGTCATGGAATTCCTCAAGGTTCAGTGCTTGGCCCAACACTATTTACCTTGTATATGCTTCCATTAGGTAAAGTTATTAAACAGCATGGGATAAATATTCATTGTTATGCTGATGATACACCGTTATATTTGTCCATGAAACCCAATGAATCCAATCAGCTACTTAGACTACAAGCATGTCTTAAAGACACAAATGTGATTATCGTACCCACCACTGCACACTGTATTCACTGGTTAACTGGACATAATTAACTTCACGCACTCTCCCACTGGAACATTTTCATCTTTAAATCACTTCTTGGTCTGCTGCCTTCATACATCTCCTCCTACACGTCTCTGCATGAGTGCAGCTACAGCGTGCACTCTCAGGACATTATTACCTGCAGTGTTCCCTCAGTGAGGACTGAACTAGGCAAAAGGGTCTTCTACTACTCCGTTTCCTGGAATATCTTGCAAAAAGATCTGAAGCTCTTGACCTTGATCTCTCTAAGTGGCTTTAAGAATCTGTTGGACTCCTGGCAAGGACCAATGCAGACATTCATTCAACCTTTATTTAGACAGGTAAATCCCATTGAGCCTCGAGGACTCATTTACAAGAGAGACCCGATTTCAACAAAGAATGACGACAATAATGGACAACAGCGACAACAATAGACAGTTCTAAAAAGGCATACAGATTATTATTTTTTTTTTTTTAATGAATAGGATGGCTAAAAAAAGAAAAGTAACAAAAAACAGCTAGATTCTAAGGTGAATGTGGAAAACTAAAAACAGGAACATGTCTGCATTGGTCCCTGCCAGGAGTCCAACAGATTTTTAAAGCCACTTAGAGAAGTCAAGAAAATAGAAATAAGCTAAATTGAACATGTTTTTTTTGTTTGTTTTTCCTCCTATAGAAAGTACACCAGGACCTGTCATTCTGTGTCTGTTTCTACTTCATGTCCTCTCAAACCGGTTAAAGCAGATGGTCGCTCGTCCTGAGCCTGGTTCTTCTCCAGGTTTCTTCCTGTTAAAAGGGAGTTTTTCCTTTCCACTGTCTCCTTTGTGCTTGCTCAGGATGAGATTGTGACAAAGTGAAGATTCAACACAATCTGCTGCTTCCGACCACCGAGCTACCACAGCCCTTTGTGTGGAGTAGAGAGCTGCCATCTAGGGCACCTGGAGGTGGTGTTAAATGGGCCTTGCTCAAGGGCCCAGAGTGGGGCAGATGAGGGTGGAGGCAAGTGTGGGAGTTTCACCTTTCCTACCCACATTTTGAGGTTGTCAGTATTGGGAGTTGAACCAGCGAGATTCCGATCACAGACCCACCTTCTCTAACCTCTGCGCCACCACTCCCAGAGAGAGAACTTGTCTTTTTTAATGTCTGTGAATGTTTTCAGTGACAAATGCTGGAGCTGCAGAAATAAACTGAAGTGAAAAACAAGAAAATTATTTTTTTATTTAACGACCGATCTAAAATATGAAGATTAAAAAAAATAATAAAAAGGTTTTATTTTTTATGATCTGAACCTTAGGAACAGAGTTTATCCTAAAGTTTTTGTTTCAATGAACTGCTGCATCTTTTTAAATAAATTACAGATTTTAAACCTTTGATCCTAAAGCAGAAACATTTAAACACAAAGTGATTCTGTTTTTATCGTTTAGTTTCAGCTGCAGCTCGTTCTGTGTGACCAGTCTGTAAAACTCCAGCTGAACTTGAACGCAGCACGAGAGCTTCAGGTGACGCACCTGAGAGTCTGAGCTTTGGAGGAAACCAGAACCAGAACTTCACCAGTTCTGGTTCTGATAAAACCTGAAGCTGCTGAGCTTTTATGAGTTTCTGAATGTTTCCATTTAAGTTGAAGTTCTGCAGGTTCTGTTGAAGTTCTGCAGGTTCTGGTGAACGGACTTTTCGATAAAAACGTCTTCAGACTTTTGAAGAATATTTTAAACTTCAGATCAGCTGGGTCAGACTTCTGGAATAAGGAAGACAATCCGTCTCATGGACAAACAGAAAGACAATCTGGAGGACATTCTGTGACTGGACGTCCAGCTGGAGCAGAGACTAGGTTTGACCTGTGACCTTTGACCCATGAGACGTCCAGTTGGACATGTCTTACTTCAGAGCTCGGACAAGAAACTGTCCACAGACAGACACACAGCACCGGGACAGAAATGATCGGACTGTCCCCTTCAGAACTCGTCTCACCTCCGGTTCTGAACCAGAAAACATCGAATTGATCGTTTTTATAAAAACGGACTTCAGAACTTCAGTACTGACCCAGATCGAACACAGAGGTTCTGGGAAAACGGGTCAGTTCTGGATGTTACGAGTCTGGTTCTGATATTACAAGTCTGGTTCTGATGTTACGGGTCTGGTTCTGGATGTTGTGGGTCTGGTTCTGGTCAGTGAGCAGCTGTTTGGGTCTCCTTATAGAACATTTGGACGCAGGCAGAACATATCCGGGTCAGTCGGTTCTGTTCTGATCTAACCCAGTGGGTTTGTTCCGGCCGTTCGGACCTCCAAGCAGGAAGCTGTTCAGTTTGTGTCTGAACAGAACCCAGAAGGTTCTGATGAGCAGTTGGACTCTGTCCGTCCATGTCAGCGGTCTCGTCCTGGCGGTCCGATCAGGTGGTGCTGCTGCAGCAGGCGTCCTTCTCGAGGTGCGGCTGCAGGCCGGCGGCGGTGCTGAAAGTTGTGGAGCAGGGTGCGCAGCGGGTGGCCCGTTCTGCTGCGGCGTGCGTGCGTTTGTGTTTCTTCATGGTGTCGCCGTCGCTGAAGGTGCGGCAGCAGAAGGGGCAGCCGTACGGCCGCTCGCCCGTGTGGATCCGCAGGTGGCGCCGCAGGTTCCCTCGCTGGCTGAAGCTCTTGGAGCAGAAGGTGCAGCGGTGCGGCCGCTCGCCTGTGTGTGTTCGCAGGTGGCGCCGCAGGTCGGCCGACTGGGCGAAGGATTTGCAGCACCAGCTGCAGGCGTAGGTCTTCCTCTTCTGGTCCAGGTGCAGCCGGAGGCCGGCGGCCTGGCCGAACGCCTCGCCGCAGCGGTGGCAGCGGTGCACCAACTCCGGGATCAAACCGCCGGCTGCAACGTCGTCGGCCAGCTGCGTCTCCTGACACGACTTCCTGTTCCTGTGAGCGTCCTGCAGCGCCGGGTCCGCCTCCGCTCTTTCAAAACCGGATTCCTCCGTGGCGGCGGGAGACTCGTCGTGAAGCTCCGCCTCCTTCACCTCCTCTGGTTCTCTTTTGACCTGCGCCACCGGCTCCTCCCTGAGAGCCAGAACATCCAGGTGCATTATGGGAAGATTCAGAGAGGGCTGGGTCTGCAGAGGTGAAATTCTGCCAAACGCTTCCCGACCCGGGTCGGACGTTGGCACCGGTTCCCAGACATCTGCAGGTTTCTCGTCTACTGGCAGGCAAACTGGCGCCGGTGGCATTTCCTTCAGGACTGGAACCAGCTGTGGCTGTCGGGTCTGGTCCAGGCTGGAGTCAGGTTTATCTGAATGGGTCCTGGACTCTGGATCATCCAGGTTCTGTTCTGGACCTGACCGGGATGACCCTGAAGCAGAAACAGAACCGTTACTGAGGAAGAACATTTGGGTTTCGGAGAGGTTCTGCTGTCAAACCTGATGTAGCTGCATACAAATCAATCAGCCAGAACATTATGACCACCTCGGTCCTGACCCGGCTTCTCCTGGACTCCTGTGGGCCTCTGAACATCCGCTGTAGTTTCTGGATCCAAGTGGAACCAGGTGGTACATGACCCAGTTTGGTTTGTTCTGGACCTGGTGTCTGCAGACCTTTCTGCACCCGTCAGTGGTCATAATGTTATGGCTGATCAGAGGACGTAAATCTGTGACAGGAAGTCGGTAGGTTAACAAGATAAAAGTCTGAAAAAGGTTCTAGACTTTTCCAGCTCATGTAGTTGCCAAAAATGTTTTTACGTAAACAACCCAGTAAACTGGAGAGAACGAAACATTTCCTGCCAACAACAACAACAAACAGAGAAGTTACTGAAGTTTAAAGCTCCAGCTCCTTCAAAAGAAAACACACCATCAGCTGATTTCTGCTGCGGGCTCGACTCTGAGAAGAAACTACTAAAGTCCCGTTTGTCTTAAAATATGAACAGAACTGATTCATTTGAATGCAGCCGAATGTAACATCGGGTCATTAGTGTTAAAGAAAATGTTTTGAATCACTGAATTTCTCAGAACTTTAGCTGAAAACCTCGTTCGACTTAAAAAAGCGGATTTTGTAACGCGGTGTTGAACGGTGCGCTCTCGCGGTGCTCCGGTCGGAGCCGGCCCTTACTCAGCCACTCGGTCTCGGCCTCCAGCAGCAGGATGTCCCGCAGCTGCCTCCGCAGACTCTCATTCTCCCGCCTGGTTCTGGCGGTCTCCTCGCGGTACTCGGACACCGTGTCCTCCACCACGTCCAGAACCTCCTTCACCACCGCCGTCAGCCGCTCCGTCAGGTAGGCGCTGAGCAGCTGCAGTTTAGTCATTTTGATGCTGCAACACGCACGAACCCGAGCGACCGAGGGAGACGCGCAAACAGGAAGCGCTTTAGGTTCACACTTTCAAAATAAAGGCCTTGACCTTATGCGCGCACACAAAGGAAAGAGCTGGTTGCTGGTATTAAGAGGGCCAAAGCCACATGCACAGAAGATCCAGGGTCAGTTCACCTCACAAGACCCACGCAGCACATGAGGAACATTAAGTGTATAACAGATTAAAAAGGCAGGGGTGCACAATGTCCTAGAGACCCATCACTGCCTCTGTCTGATGCCCTCAACAAATACTGTGCACGCTCTGAAGACCCGAACAGACCATCCAGCACCAGGCTCACACCACCGGAAAAGGAGTTCATCAGCATGACCTCAGCTGAAGTGAGGAGGACCTTCAAGAGGATTACCCCTCACAAAGCAACAGGCCCAGACAACATCCCAGGGAAGGTGCTGAAAGACTGTGCCGATCAGCTCTGTGAGGTGCTGGCTCACATCTTTCACTCCTCACTCACCTTAGCAAGATTTCCCACCTGCCTGAAGACTGCCACCATCATCCCAGTCCCAAAGAGCTCTACAGTGACTGGTCTGAATGACTATCGGCCAGTAGCCCTCACCCCAATACTCGCTAAGTGCTTTGAAAATCTGGTCAGGCATCAGAACACACATCAACATCAACGAGGACCCGTGCCCCCTCTTCCCTGCTTTGCTCCCTTGTCTTGTGAACTCTTTAAAGAGTCTCTCTTTTTTCCTGCATACCTTCCTAATTTGAAGGATTTGATCAACTGGTCTCTCAACAAAATTGATCAGCCTCTCCTGACAGGAAGTCAGGGTGAATGGAGGACCCTTTGACCTTGACGGAAACAAAATTAGATTTATGATGACAACTGGATTCTGCTGTTTGGGTTGGTGAAATCTGGATTGTCTACAAATTTGTGTGGAATGTGTCGAAGCTTGGCAGCACTCAGTCTGAATTATGTGGAGCTGCGTCAGAGCTGAAGCAGGCTGATATCAGGACTGTGAACTTTCTGGCAGCTCCCATGAATGGTTGGAAATAATCTTGGAGAAAGTTGTAAGCTCGACTTTCAGTGTAAAGAATCAATTCGGCTGTTTGGAGTCACCATCAGAGAAATTTACTAGTGAGACTTTAAAAGGCAGAAACAGCAATTTACGCGTTCTGCCTGACCCAAACTGTGGATCTGGACCTGGCCTTGAAGGCGGACTATCTCTTCTTCCTAGCATGTTTATGAAAAACAAAGACGCTCTGTCTGTCTCCTCACGCCTCCCTTCCCCAAGGCTGTGGACATGTGACGGAACCTCACCCAAGCTGGTGATAACAAACACCTCTTATCTGGATAATGGCTGAGGGGGGCTCTGGACTATGCTACAACCTTCCCTTTAAATTCAATGCCTTCATCGGCCCCATGTCTATTTATGTTGCTTTGCTGTGGTAGATTTTTTGATGCCTTAAACCATACCTTGTCTAGGACAAGGTGTGAGAGATTTTTTTATACCTTCTCTCCTCACGTATTCTTCCCTTTTCTCATCTAAGAAAAACTATTATTCTGAATAAAAATAAGAGAGCCACGCTAATTAGCAGCAGCTCTGTGCACTCCGTCCATCTTTCGGACGGCTGTACGTACATGTTCTTGTTGTATCTCGGTGCAATGACAATAAAGCTTGCTCTGATTCTGATTCTGACCCTCACCTGTTTGCATTACAGTTGCATTTGGGTCCAAAAAATCCGATCCTACCCAGCCCCAGCCCCAGCCCGCAGCCATCATCTCCGAACCCCACCCAATCCAATGAATTAACAGTAATTACAGGTCCGAACCCCAACCACCCCCACCCTTTTTAATTAAGCTTTGACTGCTTATACCATGACTATTATTAATGGTTGGCGGACGCGTGTGGCTTAGGGGGCAGAAGATCAGAGCTGAGGAGCCGTTAAAGCGCATTAAATGCTTCCCCTGCTTCTGCCTGCACCCTACTCTGACATGTTGAATATTTTGTGATCTCACCTGTTTGGGTCGTTGGCCGCACGTGTCCGCTGAGTGCAGCGGCTAAATGAACGTCATTTGGACAATGGATCTCTGGCAGTAGTCCATCTGAAGCTTAACTGAACTTTTTACCTCTTTCAAGGCTGGTTGATGTGTGCTCAAATGGCCACGTGCGGCAGGTGATTGTATGGCAGGCCATCCATCTTTTACCTGCTTCTTCCATTTTGGGTCACGGGGGTCGCCGGTGCCCATGTCCAGCAATCACTGTGTGAGGGGCGGGGGACACCCTGGACACAAGTCCATCACAGGGACACATAGAGACAAACGAGACAAACAATCATTCACTCACACCTAGGGACAATTTAGAGTTACCAATCAGCCTAACATGCGTGTTTTTGGTCTCTGGGAGGAAACCGGAGTACCCAGAGAAAACCCACGCAAGCACGAGAAGAACATGCAAACTCAACACAGAAAGACCCCAGGTCCAACTGGGGATTGAACCCAGGACCTCTTGCTGTGAGGCAACAGTGCTAACCACTGAGACGTCGTGCTGCCAAATGACAGCTCTAGTATGCATACCGCAAGAACTGAAGTCAGACATGAAATCAGTAGAGTCGTCCTGTCCAAAACTAGTGTTGTTTATCTGAATCTGGCCTCCCCTCTGGCCTTGGACAGGCCAACTTATCTCAAATTGCTCCTGTTGGATACATAAATTAAAAGGCCATGCACTGCCCCATTACCCCCCCCCCCCCCCCCCCCAGGGGGGAACATCTGTGGACCCTTATCAGAGTTGTACCGGCTGAGAGACATTGTAACATCTTTTTATCAGGACTATGGAAACTATCTGGAAGTGTTCATGAACAGTCTCACCGTCTTGTCGTCCCCCCCTGTAAAATGTATTATGTCTATCTATGTTGCTTTTACTGAGGTAGATTTTTTTTGCTGCCTTACACCGTGCCCTGTGTCAAGGACACGGTGTGAGAGATCTTTTATTTATACCTTCTCTCCTCATGTTTTCTTCCCTGATTCTGATTTAGCTACAAGTACTTGGGGGTGCACCTGAATGACAACCTCAGCTGGAGCAACAACACCACCAGCCTGATCAAGAAAGCTCATCAGAGACTCTACTTCCTCAGGCGGCTGAGACGAGCTGGTCTAGGAAGCTCAATCCTCACCTCCTTCTACAGGTGTGCAGTGGAGAGCATCCTGTGCTCCAGCATCAACGTGTGGCATGGAGGCTGCACAGCTGCAGAAAGAAAAGCTTTGCAGAGAGTGGTGAAGGCTGCACAGAAGTCTATTGGAGTCAGTCTCCCCCCCATCACAGACATCTACACCTCCAGATGCAGGAAGAGGGTCACCTGCATCATGAAGGACCCCACTCACCCAGCATGCACACGTTTTGCCCCACTCCCCTGAGGAAGGAGGTTAAGGAGCATTAAGTGTAGAATCACTAAACTGAGGAACAGCTTCTACCTTGAGGCTGTTAGACTCATGAATCTCTAACCAGAATAATCACTGTGAAAAAAAATCACTGTAATGCAACTTTGATTGTTGATATGTGCTGCTGACTATCCATGCTGCTGATCTCATGCTGCTGATCTCATGCTGCTGATTCATTTCATGCTGATGTGTTCATTTGTCCTCATCTTCTCACACAGACTCATGTTTGTGCTGCTGTTGTTTGGAGTATTGTTTTTATGCTACTAGTGCTTAGTGTATTTTTAGTGTATGTTTTTTAATTCATATCTTAGATCTTATTACTGTTTTTCTTTTACAATTACTACTTTTGTTGGATGTAACTGGGACCCTGTGTACACAATTTCATTTCACCACATTTACCTCATGTGTTGCGAATGACAATAAAGAAACCTTGACACACACACACACACACACACACACACACACATACACACTATTCTAACAAGCATTTCTTGGTTTCTGGTTTTCACAGGCAGGAGAACATCTGGTCTTCTTTCAGCCATTCCCTCTTCATGTGTCTTCACAGTGAGTCATCCTCCTCCATCTCTGCCCTCACTTTGTCCTTTGCATCCTCTATGTCCTCTGTCCTCACTCCATCCACCTCCATGTCCTCTCTAACTGCATCCATAGATCTCCTCTTTGTCTTTTCCCTGGCAGCTGCATTTCTAGCATCCTTCTACCAATATACCCACTGTCCCTCCTCCGGACATGTCCAAACCATCTCAGTCTGTCCTCTAACTTTATTTCCCAGTTGTTCAACCTGTGCTGTACCTCTGATGATCTCATTCCTAATCTTAAACATCCTTGTCCCTCCTACGGAGAACCTCAACATCTTCATTTCTGCCACTTCCAGTTCTGTCTCCTGTCTTTTTGACAATGTCTCTGGTCTTTCTGTCCATGTCTCTGTTTCTAGTCTTTTCCTTGCTGTCATCCATCCATTAGCTTCTGCTTGTTTTGTAATCGGGTCGTAGGGGAAGCAGCTTAAACTTCTTCATCTTTCTGCTGCTCCTTCTTCAGGGTCACCACAGCGAACTAACTCGCACAAAGACTTGGTGACTATTTTTACACCTGACACAACCACAGACCATGGAGCTACCACAGCCCTCTGTGTGGAGCAGAAAGCTACATCTAGGGCACACGGATTAGCAGATGATGAGGGTTAAGGGCCTTGCTCAAGGGCCAAGAGTGAGGCAAACCGGCAACCTTCAGATCACAGGCCCACCTTCTCTAACCACTGTGCCACCACTCCCCCATAGGAAGCAGCTTATACAAAAAAATTGCACTCATTTCAATTTTTTTAGCCTAATTCAACAAAAATATGTTTCTCTACGTCCTTGTGTTAACTTAAGCTTCTTTTTTAGCTACTTTTCAGCTGTTTTTTTTTTTGTGTGTGCGCTAATTTCAGCTTTTTTCAAATAATTTCTACTTTTTTGTGCTCATTTCTGCTTCTTTCAGCCTAACTGGGCAAACCCGTGTTCTTTCTGGTTTCTTCTGCTAATTTTAGCTTGTTCTACCATTTCTGCTACCTTTTAGCATTTTTTAGCTTATTTCAGCTGTTTTCAGATAAATTTAA